GCACCAGCATCATCATCATCACCATCGCCACCACCACCATCATCAGCATCGTATTCATTTTTCTCATAATCCTCCTTCTCATCATCATCATCATCATCATCATCATGAGCAGTTGCATCATCAACACTCTCTTCATCAGCATCAGCAGCATCATCATCGCCACGACCGCCACCACCACAACCACCATCATCGTCATCATCAGCATCATCATCACCAGCATCATGGTCGTCATCATCATCAACACCATCATCAGCATCATCATCGTCGTCATCATCCGTACCATTTGGGCTCGAGCTTGCTCAGGAGCGAGCGCGCGCAGCCCGGCGGTACAGTCAGTGATCGCGGCGCGGCGGTACAGTCAGTGATCGCACTGCTGAAGATCGATTGTGCGCTGGTCTGGAAAAAGCTTCTCTCGTCCGACATAGCTATGATGGGAAGGGACAGCAGACGAAGATCAGCGGGCCAGCTGCTCGCAAGACGAAGGTTGTGAAGTCGATTGGAGACGCTGGGGGCGATCGGGCCACCGCAGCGTAGCATGAGCTGATTCAAAAAGATCAGACTGGGTTGGACCTGTTGTTGGCGACGGCCCCTGATGACAAGCAGTTGAGGGCAGGGCAGAAGCTCTTGACACGGCAGAAGATATCTTGGTCTCACAATCACCGGCGGCGAGGTACGAGTGCCAATGCTGTGACCGACGGGACCACGAGGGAAACGGCAACAACCAAAGCGAGCGAGCGCGGCCAACGGATCCCCGGGGGGTCCGGCCCTGGACAGGGCGCCGCGGTGGGGCCTCAGCCCTCAGTCATCAAATCACATAGGTCTCGACGTAGTCTCCATCTCTTCTTCTGTCTGCCTTGACGTCGCCGGTGATGCGGTTCAGACGGATACCATTGAAAAGCCCAGTGAGCCCAAGACTTCTCCAGGCGTTGTAATCGTTCCAACCAGCCGCGTGCTGAAGAATAATGTGCGGTAACCCGGTCGGATATGTGGAGACGCTGTAAGTGCTGCTCTGCGTTGCGAGTCGCCCGTCGGATCCAATCAACCCAAGGCCCCAAAGAAACATGAATACTGCAGCTGCTGCCATTGCTCGAGGAACTGCTTGGTGCGTTCGTATCGCTGGATGTATTCCGGCTCTGGTTTGCGAAAGTCTTCCTCCTTGGCGAGCGGATCATCATTCGGAGCATGCGTCGTTGAGTTCGTCGTATCGTGTCCTCCAGGGGCTTGGTCAGCCACCACACTTCATATCCATACAACATCGTCGCGGACACCGTGCTTTCAAAGAGGCATAGACGGGACTTGATAGAATCTTGCCTGCCAGTGAGCCCTGCTCTGTGCACGTGAAACTTCTTCCATGCCGTCGAAATTCTGTGGTCGATCTCGGTTTCGTGCGCACTGTCGACAGAAATCTGTCGCCCCAGAAACCTCCAAGCCCATGAAAACGGAACAATTTCAATAGAAAATGCCGTGAATTGTCGCAGAGTTTCTTTGGTCGCCCTGTGCGCAAAATGGTGTTGCTCGGAATCTTTGTTTTGTCCGGGTGTAGTTACAGGCCCCTCTCCCAAGCAGCGGCGCGAAAATCTTGCAGCATGTTCTGGATCTGGTGTAAAGACGCGCCAATCAACATAATATCATCAGCGATCCGACGGGCCGGCCCCAACTTGAGCCCCCAACGTGATCGTCTCCATTTGGCCTTGACGGTTCGCATGGTATCCTCCAACAGCGCGTTGAACAGCAAGGAGCTGAGAGGGCCCCCTTGTTCTGTGCCGCGTTCAATGGAGAACTGTTTGCCGATCTTGTCCGTGCGCACTCGCGCTGGACAAAGATTAGGCAAACGCAAAGGGGAAGACCAGGTGGTGGACACGAGAACTGTTTGCCGATCTTGTCCGTGCGCACTCGCGCTGGACAGAGATCAGGCAAAGGCAAAGGGGAAGACCAGGTGGTGGACACGGCGGTGGACACGCCCATCGCACTCGACGAACACGACTGGAGGAGGAGGAGGAGGAGGAGGAGGAGGAGGAGGAGGAGGAGGACCGCCCAGGCCCCGAACAAGCTCCCCCGAGGGGAGAGTGCGAGGGCGCGGCCTCGCCGCACTCCGTGGCAGCTGCTGAGAGGTGGTGCTCCGCCCTCCGTCGCCAGAAGGCACCGCTGGCTGCCAACACAGTTGGCACCGGCACCGAGCAGTGGACCCGCGCGAAGATCCGAATTCAACGGGCGAAGAACGGTATAAAATAAACTGTTTCGCCGTCGGGGACACCTGCCCCTGGGCGGCTGGAAAGTTCATACCCCTACGGTGCCACCGAAAGGGCATAAAATTTCCAGCCGCCCTGGGACAGGCGCCCCCGACAGTGAAACAGTTTATTTTATACCGTTCTTCGCCCGTTAACTAATCCCTGTCCTGAACGTCCACCACGGAGCTCAGGCCCCTAGGAAAACGTTCACGGAGGAAGTCGATCTAGCGGTGCGCTGACACAGAAGTCAACATGAAGACCAACATGGCCCAGCTCGACGCCGTTGACGGCAACGCCTCGTTCATGCGCATCACGGTGCACGAAGCCGATGCCTTGCTGGTTCACCCATCTGTCAAGGATGTCATCAGCAGTCATGATCAGTGGCGCCGCGCCCATCGAGATCGGGCGCCAGAGGCAGCAGGACAAGTCAGGCAGCACGGCAAACGAGCGGTGGAAGCAGGCCCGGCGTTCCGATGCCGAGCTGTCGCTCGACGCAGGCCTGCGCGATGTGATCAAATCCACGACGAATGCTATCTGCCCCGAGGTCGAGCTGCTGGACGAACCCAGTCGGCTACTGCGCGCAGGAGGCCAGGTCGGCCAGCGCACGCCAGGAGCCATCCTCGCCATCAGGAAGAGCCATGAGCACATCCGACTCAAGAACTCAGGCTACCGGGGAACGACCTTCGCGTCGTCCTACAACGGCGACGAGCCTGACAAGCAAGAGCAAGATAAACAGCGGGCCCAAGTGGCATGGTTCAACAAGACCATCGCCATGCAGGACGCCTACTCCATGTCCAAGCCACAAGAGGCCCCCCATGGCATGACGAAGGGTGACCGTGGGCAGTCTGGGCTACGAGTGCTACGTGAACGTGAGAAGGCCACCGACGCTGCCACGGCGGCACGGGGCTCTGCCATTGCGCTCGCCAGGCGCAAGTGGCTCATTGACAATATCACGAACGGCCGCGCCACCAGGGATCAGATCTCGGACGCCGTGCAGTCAGTAGGTTGGACTGTCGAAGTCGCCCACGTCGGCTACGACCCCAGCGAGAAAATCCACTCCGCCATCGCAGGCTCCGACACGGAGACGTCAGACGAGTTCTGGAAGCTCGGCGCCGCCAAGCTCCGGGGTCGTCACGGAGGTCAAGCCCCCTCCCGGAAAACCCCCTCCCCAAAAATCCCCCTTTGGAGCCCTCCAGTGCTCGTGCACGCGGCGCGTCGCTGCAAGGCCAGGCCCCCCCCCCGGACGCTCGCGGCTGGCCGTCGGCGGTCGACCGCCGCGCCGTCGGGCGTCGTGTGGAGCAGGGGGCCTGCAAGGGCACGCAACAGCAAGGAGAAGCTTCGGTCGTCGTCTTCGTCGTCGCCGCCGCCGTCCCCGCACGCTTCGCGGGCGTGCGAACGTCCTCGAAGCTCGAGGCTTTTTGGGCGGCGTCGCTCGCTCTCGGCGGCCCTCCGGCCTCCGGGTGCTCTCCGGCAGGCCGCGCCCCGCCGAGGGCCCTCTGGGGGGCGCCCCGAGGGTCCCGAAGGGCCGCCGGAGGCCCGGGCTGCAGCCCGAGAGCCACCAGGTGGCCCAGGCCTTGGGCCCCGCTCGTGGAGCACGGCGGTGCAGAGCCATCGCAGCTTCCTCCTCCTCCTCCTCCTCCTCCTCCTCCTCCTCCTCCTCCTTCTCCTCCTCCTCCTCCTCCTCCTCCTCCTCCTCCTCCTCCTCCTCCTCCTCCTCCTCCTCCTCCTCCTCCTCCTCCTCCACCTCCTGCTCATGTTCCTGATCCTGCTCCTGCCTCCCTCGCCAGAAGGGCAAAGGGCAGGACGAGTCGGCATCGGATCGGGAGAGCGGGTCGCATCGAAGTGCGCGTCGGATCGGGCCGCATCGGCACGGAGACGAGGTAGGATCGGATCGGCTGCACCAGGTTGCACAACAGCGCCATGTAAGCATCGAGCCGCATCGGATCGCTGGGAGTTCGAAATCGAATCGGATCGAACTGGCCGAAATCGATATCGAATTGAATCGATCGGACCGAATTGGGCCGTTTTGTACTGGTCTGGAGGCAACTCCTGGGAGGTCCTCGTGAGAACGAGTGGGGGCATGAAAGCGGATTAGCCCAGCTTGGGCCCAGGATTCAGCTGTATAGAACTAGATCAAGCGGGGTTAAACTGGATTGTACGGGCCTGCGCCGGATTAGGCCTGTTTTCCACAGCGGATGTGCCAGCGCGGATGCCGAATCCAACCTCCCCTAGCACAAGCACGCACTGCCCGAGGCCCGCGCCGACTTCTTGCATCGGCGCTGGAGCCCCCCTGGCGGCCCCTCTGGCGCCGCCGCTGGTGCACTTCGCGCGCCAGGGAGGGGGATACGGCGATCCAAGAAATCGGCGCGGACTCAGACATGCGAGGAGGAGGAGGAGGAGGAGGAGGAGGAGGAGGAGGAGGAGGTGATGGTTCGCCTCTGAGGTAGGCTGGCCCGTATGCGCTCGGACCGTCCGCGGGTGCCGCGGCGAAGCGCAGCAGGGCTGCATCATGCCCGTCTGCGCCTCCGGGCCTGCAGGGGCAGCAGCCGCGCACGACCCCAGGTCGGCCACGGCGGGTTCAAAAAGCCTGGTACAAGGATTCGGGCGCGCTGGGGGGAAGTTGCCTGGCCCCAGCGGCAGCACATCAGAGGGGCAGGCAGAGGAGTGAACAAAGCGAGAGAGGGGCCTCCTCCTCCTCCTCCCTCCCCCTCCTCCTCCTCCTCCCTCCTCCTCCTCCTCCTCCTCCTCCTCCTCCTCCTCCTCCTCGGAGGGCGCGCAACAAAAAAAAAGAAATGGCGCCAGGGCTGCGGCCGTCTGAAGAAGGCGCGGTGGGGTGCCTCTTCGAAAGCAGGGGCCTTCTTAGAAGGCCCCAGGGGCTTCTACGAGGGCCCCTTGGAAGCAGGGGGGGGGGGGGGGGATTCTCGGAGGCCCCCGCGCCTTCTCGGGAACTCCCCCGCCTCTTCCGAGAGCGGCCACGCCCTCGCGCCGCCTCCGTGTGCGCCGCCAGGAGAGAGAGAGAGAGAGAGGAAGCGCGGGAGGAAGGTCCTGCTTGCCATGAATCAACCAGGTCCTGAGGGATCGGGGATCTCCCAACCCGGGTCAATCCAGGCCCTGTAGGATCCTGCGGGATCCGGCAGGACCCTGCAGGATCCTGCACCCAAGCCCAGGTCGATGCGACCCCGGCCATGCATGATCCTGCGGCATCCGGCGCTCTGGCTGACCCCCGTTTGCATCGAACCCCCGTCTCTTGAACCCCGAAGGGAAACGGGTCCCAGACCCCAGGGGGGGGGCCTTCCTCCAGGACAAGCTTTTACACCCGAGCCGCCGTTTGCTGACGGTCCCTAGGCCCGAAGAGGGCCACAATATCCCCAAAACGTAACAACAACAAAACAACAACAGACACAACAACAACAACAACAACAACAACAACAACAACTACAACTACTACAACAACAACAACAACAACAACAACAGCAACAACAACAACGACAACGACGACGACGACGGTGACGACGACAACAACGACAACAACAACAATAACACCAACAACAACAACAACAACAGCAACAACAGCAACAGCAACAACAACAACAATCACAACAACAACAACAACAACAACAACAACAACAACAACAACAACGACAACGACAACGACAACGACAACGACAACAAACAACACAACGACAACAACAACACAACAACAATCAGTTTAAGACTGTTCGCCCCTACCTGCTCGAGTGTCAAAAAACGCGTATTTCCCAAACCCTCGATACCCGCCCTCTTCGTCTTCGATCGAACCCCTTTTGGGGGGTATAACTTTTGTTCCCTGCAGGCCGGGCCCCAGCAAGCGGCGGGGCGGCCGCGGACCGTCGGCCTGGCCAGCGGCAGCGCTGATCGGCGGGGCGGCCGCGGACAGTCGACCCGACCCCAAGAGGGACGGACAGGGGACCGACCACGACGACGACGACGGCGACGTCGACGACGACGACGACGGCGACGACGACGAGCGAAAGCGAGAGCGAGAGAGAACGACAGCAGGGCCACGAAGGGCACGAACTAGGCCACGAAGGGCGACAGCGGGGACACGAAGGGACTGCACATGGGGCCACGAAGAGCGCGTACGAGCGGGGGCCACGAAGGGCAGATAATGTGGAACCACAGAAGGCAACGATGGGGCCACTGAGGGTAGCAACTGGGTCACGTAGGACAGTGAGGGGGCCACAAACGGCGACAGCGGGGCCACGAAGGGCATGCACATGGGGCCCAAACGGGCGCGAACGAGCGGGGGCCACGAAGGGCATACGTATGTTGGGCCGCGGAGGGCAAGGACAGGGCCACTGAGGGCAGCAACGGAGCCACGAAGGGCAGCGAGGGGGCCACGAAGGGCGACAGCGGGGCCACGAAGGGCATGCATATAGGGCCACGAAGAGCGCGAACGAGCGGGGGCCACGAAGGGCATACATATATGGGGCCACGAAGGACAGCGAGGGGGCCACGAAGGGCTGCAACGGGGCCGCGAAGGGGAGCGAGGGGGCCACGCAGAGCTGCAACGGGGCCACGAAGGGCTGCACCGGGGCCACGCAACACAGCGAGGAAGCCACGAAGGGGAGCGAGGGGGCCACGAAACAAAGCGAGGGGGCCACGAAGGGGAGCTAGGGGGCCACGAAGGGCTGCAACGGGGCCACAAAGGGCTGCGACGGGGCCACGAAACAGCAGCGAGGGGGCCACGAGGGGCTGCAACGGGGCTACGAAACAAAGCGAGGGGGCAGGGAGGAGGCCACGAGGGGCTGCATCGGGGCCACGAAGGGCAGCGAGGGGGCCACAAAGGGCTGCGACGGGGCCACGAAAGAAAGCGAGGGGGCCACGAAGGGCTGCAACGGGGCCACGAAGGGCAGCGAGATCCCGATTCCTCTGTGAGGGAGTCCAAAGCGTGAGCGCGACTCCTGGGTGCCTGGGTGTCGGGAGCGCGGCGCTTGAGTAAATTGCAAGAAATTCCAACGCAAGGGCGCTATTCTTCATTAAATTGCAATCAAGTCTCCAGCGAGAGCGCGACTCCAGAGCGCCGGAAGAGCGATTCCTGAATAAATTGTGAGAAGTCCCAAGCGAGAGCGCGATTCCTGAATAAAATGTGAGGAAGTCGCGGGCGGCAGCGGGGATCCTGGTTAAATTGTGAGGACGTCTCACGCGGGAGCCGCTGTTGTTGTAACCCGGGGGCCAGGGGCCCAGTTTGAGCCTCAAGACCTTCCCTGATGAAAAAACAGGGTGCGAGCGTCGAGGGGCACACTTTGATTGAGAAAAAATAGTATGCACCAGTGGGGGGGATCAACAATAATTATTCTTCAGAACTGAGAGTTCAACAACGTCCAGGACACGATGCCCCAGGGCTCGTTTGCTTCATAGCGACGTGGGAGGGCGGCTAGTCGCCCATCTCCTTCACGGGTATCCTCCCCTTCGACTTGGCCTTCGAGTCGTCCGACGCGCTGGCGGCGATCTGCTCGGCCTGGGACTCTGCCGCGGCCAGCTCTTCGACTTCCTGTGCCTGTGTTGAGCGGTATATGCACCCATGCTGGCGTACATCTACAAACACTGATGAATACGTAGATGTACACACAGTTGCACATACGTATACATATGTGCGGGCTTGACTGATTGACGTCAGAGCTGTTTGCAGGAGCAGGAGCGAGGAGTACGAGGAATTGTGGCGAACATCGGCGATTTTCCCCCAAAGCGCCGACCGCGGCATCTCCAATGTGGTTCACGTCGGCCGAAAGCTTGGCAAACGCCGATCTATACATATACATGCACGCAGACATACATACATGTATGTCTACATACATGCACACATGCACATATACATACATACCTACGTACATGCATACATACATACATACATACATACATGCATACATATAACAAACGAAAACATGCATGTATTCATATAATGTGCATCTACATATACATATGTATATATACATACACATACACGTAAACATATACATACATGCATACATACATACACAATTACATACATACGTACATGTATGCATGCATACATACATATATGTATACACACATACATACGTACACGTATACATACATACGGACATGCATAAATACATACATGCATGAATATATGCATGTGTATACATACACATGCATAAGCATCCGTACTCACGTACGTACGTACGTCCGCCCGTACGTACGTGCGTACGCGAATGCATGCATATATACGTGCGTGCATGCATATATACATGCATGTGATTATTTGCGCAAATGCATACATACATATATACATGCTGCACCTACATAAATGTATGCGTCGGGAGAAATTGAGAAACAAAAACAATCAAAGCATTACAACCGCCCAAATACACACGCACGCACTCACCCACACGCAAACATACACACATACACATACGCATACACATACACACATAAACACACACACACACATGCACACACCGACCCACGCACAAAGGCACACTCACACACACAACAAAACGACAAACAAACAAAAACAACAAGCAAATAAACAAACAAACAAACAAACAAACATAGCAAACGACAGCCAACCTATATCTATATACATACGTATGTATGGAATAGTCGACGGTAGGGGTGGATGCCTTGGGTCGGCGCGCGAGGCGCGCCAGCGGCGGCGCGCAGACGCGCCGCCGGGGCGCTAGGTATGGGGGTCCAGCGGTGCCGGCCCGAGAAACCCGCACGGGCACCGGGTTGCTCATGACTGCGCTCGTGCCGCTTCAGGGAGCAGTCAGCATCGGAACGCTGAATCGGATCGAGCCGGAATGCGCGCAGGACCGTCCCGCAGTCGGAAGCGGATCGGATTGGCCGCGCCAGTGTGCACAATTGGACCGGGCTGGCCGAAACCAATGAATCGGACCGATCGGATCGAAATGGACCTGGCTTCCCTCTGCTCTGGAGCTCCCTTTGATTATTCCCAACCCTCCTGTGTTGGTTTCTCGTTTGGGAAGGAGCACCGTGGTCTTCACCTTCTCCACCACCTCCTCCTCCTCCTCCTCCTCCTCCTCCTCCTCCTCCTCCGGCCTCCCTCCTCCGTATTCCTGCCTGCTCCTGCGCTACTCCCTGGGGGGCTGCGAACTGCGCAACTGCCGCCACTGTCGTGGGCTCCTGGGAGGCACGGCGGAGTCGGGGAGCACCAGCACCCAGGCGGGACCTCGCTGCTCCCTGGGGGGCTGCGAACTGCGCAACTGTAGCCACGCGGATCCAGCCGGGACCTCGCGGCCCACTGGTAGGCTGCGACATGTGAATTGTCGCCACTTTCGTGGGCTCCTCGGAAGCACGGCGGAGATGAGGGCAGCGCAGATCGTGCATATCTGGCGATGTGCTCTTTTGTATGGAGCGTGAATAAAACTATTCGCCTCGCGTGGAGAAGGGGCTGGGTCAGACTCAGGTAATGTGTTAATTAAAACTCTGGGAGGCCATATATCAGGCCTGCGTGCGCGAAGCGGGCGGGGTCGCTAGGCGCGTGTAAGAAGGAAGTATACGTTTGCATCATATGTGCTCATGTGTTTGAGGGCAGCGCAGATCGTGCATATCTGGCCGACCAAGAGCCGTGCCTCCCACGAGCCGACGAAAGTAGCGACAGTTGCGCAGTTCGCAGCCCCCCAGGGAGCAGCGAGGTCTCGTCTGGGTGCGCGTACTCCCCTGTTCCGCCGTGCCTCCCAGGAGCCCACGAATGTAGCAACAGTTGCGCAGCTCGCAGCCTTCCAGGCGGCAGCGAGGTCCCAAGTGGAGCCGCGTGGCCCCCTACTCCGCCGTGCCTCCCATGAGCCAACGAAAGTGTCGACAGTTGCGCAGCTCGCAGCCACCCAGAGAGATGCGAGGTCTCGGCCAGGTGCGCGTACTCCCCCACTCCGCTGGGCCTCCCAGGAGCTCATGAAGATGGCTGCAGCTGCGCAGTTCGCGGTCACCCATGGAGCTGCGAGGTCCCGCCTGGGTGCGCGTACTCCCCGACTCCGCCGTGCCTCCCAGGAGCCGACAAGAGTGGCGACAGTTGCGCAGATCGCCGCCCCGCAGCGAGATGCGAGGTCTCGGCTGGGTCAACGTACTCCCCAACTCCACCGTGCCTCCCATGAGCCAACGACAGAGGGGACAGTTGAGCAGCTCGCAGCCCCCCCCAAGGAGATGCGAGGTCTCCGCTGGGTGCGCGTACTCCCCTACTCCGCCGTGCCTCCCAGGAGCCCACGAAAGTGGTGACAGTTGCGCAGATCGCAGCCCCCAGGGCCCAGGGAGCAGCGAGGTCGGGTTTGGGTCTGCATACTCCTCTACTCCGCGGTGCCTCCCAGGAGCCTACGAAAGTGGCGACAATCGCGCAGTTCGCAGCCTCCCAAGGAGCAGCGAGGTCGCATCTGGGCCTGCATATTCTCCGACTCCGCTGCACCTCCCAGGAGACCACGAGAGTAGCTCGCAACCACTCAGGGAGCAGCGAGGCCACCTCTGGGTGCGCGCGGCCCCCGACTCCCGCTGGATCGCCCAGGAGCCCACGAAAGCGGCGACAATTGCGCAGTTCGCAGCCACCCAGGGAGCAGCGAAGTCCCATCTGGGACCGCGTACTCCCGAACTCCGCTCGATATCCCATGAGCCCACCAAAGTGGCGCCAGTCCGCAGCCACCCAGGGAGCTGCGAGGTCCTGTCTGGGTGCGCGTGGTCCCCGATTCTGCTGCACCTCCCATAAGCCCACGAAAGTGGCGACAGCTGCGCAGTTCGCAGCCACCTTAGGGGGCAGCGCAAGAGGAGGCAAGAAGAGGGTGAACGCGGGAGAGCTGTGAAAAAAGCCTTCCCGAACCCAGCACTTCGAACCTTCCCGCTCCTGTCATGCTCGCTGGAACAAGTGCTGGGCCACCTCAGACCCCCAGCAGGCTCCAAGTTTGAGACACGCCTATTTGCCGAACCGAAGGGGCCCACTCCCTCTCTGCTCCTCGGTCCTTCCAGCCCTGGCTTCTCGGCCCCCGGCTTCGGCCTCGGGGGAGGAGGAGGGGGGAGAGGCAGGAGGAGGGAGGAGGGAGGAGGGAGGAGAGAGGAGGGAGGAGGGAGAAGGGGGGAGGAGGAGGATGAGGATGAGGAGGAGGAGGAGGAGGAGGAGGCGGAGGAGGGATCGCACGCCACTGAGGGAGAAAGGAAAGAGCCTCACACGGTCGGCCACAAACCCCAAGGGGGGCCCTTCGGCGATGACCTCTTTGACAGGCACGCACCGTAGGCCAGCGACACGCCCTCCGCAGTAAATCCGCCGATCCGGCGTGAGTTTCTGAAAGCGTGGACTTGAGCTCGCTCAAGCTTCGCTCTGCAGGTGGGGGTGGGGGGAACGCCAGTCCCGACGCATTCAGTGCTCGGGGGCGGGGGGGCCCACAGGCCCCTAAGAAGCCCCCAGGAGACTCTGGAAGGGGGGGGGGGCGCCATTCCCGACGCATTTAGTGCTCGGGGGCGGAGGGGCCCACAGGCCCCCAAGAAGCCCCCAGGAGGCCCCAGAAGGCCCCCAAGAGGCCCGAAAGAGGCCCCGAGAGGCCCCAAAACGACCCCCAAGAGGCTTCCCCAGGTCCCTTGTTCAATCCCCTGGGCCTCGGTCCTCAAGCCTGAGGTGTCTTAATGGGTCCGGACCCCAAGCTCTCAAATCTCTTGAGGCTCCCCGCGCGCCCTCTGGGCCCCCAGAATGTTCCCGCATGACTTTTTCGAGCCCAAGAGATGCTCAAGACGGGCCAACAGGGCCCCAAGAGGCCCTCAAGACGGCCCATGGAAGCCCCGAATCACCGAACGATCGGTCCAAGACGCCCAAGATGGCCCAATGGCCATTACCATGATCAACATCATCAGAGTCAGCAGCAGCAGCAGCAGCAGCAGCATCATCATCATCATCATCATCATCATCATCATCATCATCATCATCATCATCATCATCATCATCATCACCATCACCATCACCATCACCATCATCATCATCATCATCATCATCATCATCATCATCATCATCATCATCATCATCATCATCATCATCCTCATCATCTCATCATTCATCATCATCATCATCATCATCATCACATCATCATCATCATCAGCATCAGCATCATCATCATCATCATCATCATCATCATCATGAACATCATCATCATCATCATCACCACCACCACCACCACCATCATCATCATCATCATCATCATCATCATCATCATCATCCTCATCCTCATCATCATCCTCATCATCATCATCAGCAGCAGCATCAGCATCATCATCATCATCATCAGCAGCAGCATCATCAGCATTATCATCACCATCATCAGCATCGTCGTCATCATCACAATCACCATCACCATTACGATCATCAGCATCATCATCATCATCAGCAGCAGCATCAGCATCAGCATCAGCATCAGCATCAGCATCAGCATCAGCATCATCATCATCATAAGCATCATCATCATCATCATCATCATCATCATCATCATTCATCATCATCATCATCATCATCATCATCATCATCATCATCATCCGCGTCATCATCATCAT